CACTCAACCACCAGGATCCTCTCCTCCCCTTCACGGGTCGCCACGCACAGCAAACACGTGGGTGGATGTTTAGATCCCAGAGAAAATAACTGAAAATACAGAATCTTCCCTGGGAGGTCCCCTCACCACGTACAGGAATCCACATCGAGGGGTATTATTAATAATAAATGCATTTTAATATTCAGTTATTTATCAAAACAGAATTACCAATTCGTTATTTAATTGTATATGCTACCATATTCAGAAGAAAATTCATAAAGAAATTAACGTATTACCGTTTAGCACTTTGAGTTAGACTCGTAAGAACAAGAGTTTGTAGCTAAAATTGTAATTTCAGTATGAAGAATGATAAAAAATAAATAAAACAGACAATAACTGTACATTAGACCACAAATACCACATTAAGTCAGAAAATGAATCAAAATATGTTTTATCTAATAATACAGAATTTGAAGACATTAATTACAAAATAAAGGTGCATACAATTAATTAATTTTGGCCATTTCCTGTAGATACTTTATCCATGTTATAATAGTTATTCTTTTGAATATCCGTTTTTGGTCTATACAGAGATTAAATTTAGTGTGTCCAATTAAGATGTTGAAAATTATTAATTAAAGAAATTGGATCAGTTTGTTTGTTTGAAGTTAAGCATAAAGCTACACAATGAGCTACCGTGCTCTGCCCACCACGGGTATCGAAACCCGGTTTCTAGTGTTGTAAGTTCGCTGTGGGATAACTTAGTAAAATGTCAACATAACCGGCCCCCAAATATTACACGAAAGGGAATGTGGATTTAACATTCCATCACTGAAGGAAATGAAAACTGAAGCAGATAGTTAAATAAATATGTAATCCCCCCCCGAAATATTTGCTATTATGCCGTGGTTGTTTTAAAAGTTTTTTGTAACTTAATCAAATAAAGTGAGTCATACTACAATCCTAATTAATCCAGTATAATGGAAAAACACATATAACATGGGAGGAGGGGGGGGGTGAAATTTGAATGAATAGAAAGTTTTTTAAAATTTAAATTAATGTCATTCCTATTTTAAAATGTACACTTGCGATTTTGATAAGAGACTACCAAAATATTATCATACGACATTAATCAGATTACAGGAAAACATGTTTGCCTGTGACATAATTAAAGGAACAAAATATTTTTGTTTTGTTTTTATATTTCATCTAACAAATATTTCTAACACGTTTACTAATAACAGTTTTGTTCAGTATGTTTTTATAATCATTATACTTTAAAAGTGAAATTTTATTGATTTTCTCTACATATTTTTAACACATTACAGTAATGTTTGTTGTTTAATTTATGTTTGTTTTAGAGCAAGACCATATTGAGCTATCTGCTAGGTACACCGCTGAGAATCGAATCCCAGATTCTAGCGGCGTTATAAGTCTGTAAATTTACCTCTGTCCCACCGGACGACATTTAATTTATGAAAAAAAAGGTACTAAGATTTTATTCTAAAAGTAGCCAGTGACACTATAACTAAAAAGGGAGTAATCTAATTATTCGTATGTTATCACTGTTAAAGTGAATGTATATATATATATATATAATTTTTTACGTGATGTTAGGAAAACACACACAACGTTAAAAAAATCAATTTCACAACAAAAATACAAAACACTATAACCCAAGCGATTTCGAAAGAATTCGAAACTTTCTGCATTGGAGGCAAATTTGGAATGACAAAGTAAAGCTAAATGTAAGAAAAAGTAGAATGGCGTCACGGCAGACCATCTTGACAACCCGGAGTGTTTTGAATAGCTTTCATTGTATTGTATTGTTGCAAGTATGTCTCATTTCCGTTGTGCAATACGACAAGAAACCAGAAAGTAAGGTATATATATATATATGGTCCCCAAGAAGGACGCTTACAACGCTAAAATCCAAGGTTCGATTCCCCGCGGTGGACACAGCAGATAGCCCGATGTGGCTTTGCTCTAATACAAACAAACAAACAATAGATATAATAAGGTTAGAAAAGTTTTGTTTTAAAAAAGAAAAAAATGTCTATGAAAATTATATTAAGTAGGGATTCTTTTGTTTGTTTCTTTTTGAATTTCGCGCAAAGCTACACAAGGGCTATCTGCACTAGCCGTCCCTAATTTAGCAGTGTAAGGCTAGAGGGAAGGCAGCTAGTCATCACCTGCCACCGCCAACTCTTGGGCTACTCTTTTACCAACGAATAGTGGGATTGACCGTCACATTATAACGCCCCCACGGCTGAAAGGGCGAGCATGTTTTGTGGGACGGGGATTCGAACCCGCGACCCTCAGATTGCGAGTCGAGCGCCTTATCCACCTGACCATTAAGTAGGGATAGATGATAAATATGTTAACTGAAGATTGGTTAAGCAGATAGAACTCAAAAGATAAAAGAACAAATATGGAAAATTATCATAAATAAATGTTAAGTATGGAGAAAGATTAGGGCTAAAAATAAAGAATTCATACCACGCATGAAAAAAAAATTCTGACGTAGAATTAATTAATGATCGTAGATCACTGATTCCAGGATCTAGATTTATTCCACAAAATTCGACGATATTTAAAGTGGCAAGCCAGTAAAATAAGCTTTTACCATTTCTCTATCAGCTTTAGTTTTGAAACTTGTTTCAATGCTGATGAGAATCACATCATTAATAGAAAGAGCAGGCTGTTTGAAATGTGGGGCAACAGGAAGGTTTTTCTCCGATCTCACATATTTATGGTTGATGAAAAGCTTTCTAACAGTAGTTTGGATCTGTTCTACATACTAGTGATTGCATTTTTTACCCCGCATGATGTAAATAATGTGTGTTGTGCAAATAATGTCTCTAATAATTTTAAAGTGTTTTTGGTCATATGTGTCGGTAGTTTTTATGAACTTGCAGGTTAGACAATGAGCGTTATTACAGGGACGAACAAGCATATCTTTAAGACTTCTGCTCTTCCGG